GAAGCTTTTTTTTCTCTTTCCAACATGTGAAACCTTCACCAACAAAATACTCACCCCCACCTTGCTTTCCAGAACTTGATTTAAAAAGATAACAATACAAACAATAAGCAGCATCTTTTTCTACACTATACTCCAACCAAGAACCGAACTCTTTAAACCAAGATGGATTGAATCGTCTAACTTTTACTCCAAATTGTCATTTTGGAAAGTCAAGATCTTGGGGCTGACAAGGACCCTTTAACATATATGCTCTTCGAACTTGATTTCAGATGTTAGCATTGTAATCCAAAATGGGAATTCTTAGACCAGGATCAGTTGGAAGTTTAGTGACATAAAATTCCACATTATTCGATATCCCCCCATCAACATTTACGTTGTCTAAGTCAGTTTTCCTTTGAAAGAATATCTTCATTTCATATCTGAATACAAACATTAGATATCCAATTACGATTTTATCTGAAAAGCTATGTATGATTTTATCTACAATGTAGCACTATTATCACGTTGGGATAAATTACATAACGAAATCTTACGTAAAGCATTATACTCTAAAACTCTTCTAAGCCAAGCATATGTTATTCCTTCTCACGTTTGTTTTGTGCGTATTTCTCATGTACAAGCAAATTTATGAGTTGACCCGTTGTTTGTTATTTTGCACAAACATCCACCTGATTCACTATATCTTCTAACTAAAGTTTACCTTGGCTTCGGCTGTATTACATTGCTCTTTGTAGATCCTACAGATACTACCTTTGATGGGACGATCTCCTAATCCTGATCTTATAGAATTGACTATCAAATTATTTCAAACCTCTAGAATGGCTAAAATATAACTCCACCCTTACTACGGCTTATTTGTTACGTGTTGGAGATATTCTGCACATGAAAACATACCTACTAATTACTATAGTTACAGTAGAGATATTATCAATAAGTAGAAGTTGATGATAAAACTAACAAAAACCCCATCTTCTCTCTCTCAACCTATTAAATGCTCTACCACACAAAACCCCCCATGTTTTCTATATTTTCGAGACTCAGATAGAGGGCAGCAGTGCAGTACAAAGCCTTATTTTGAGCCCAGATATCAGATTCATCAGCTTACCGCTAGGGATTGTGAATCCGAGAAGAACACACCTCTCTCTCTTCTCTCCCTATTCTCAAATCTCAAGAGTCAAGACCATTACCTTATTTACCAACAATCGGTTTCTTCATACACAAAATATACATCAAAGA